AATTAGTATATTCATACTATATAAAGATATGACATTTTAAAGATATAATAAATATCTAAATAAATTAATAATAAAACATTTTAATAAAATATGATAGAAAAATTTACATGAAATAAAATAATTAGTATATATATTTCAATATAAGACATTTTAGAAATATAATAAATATCTAAATAAATAAATTCTAAAAAAAGATATGATAGAAAAAATAAACTTGAAATAAAATTATTTGTATTTATATATGTAAATGATAATAAATATTAAATAAATTATAAATAAAAATAAATAAATTGTAATACTGCAAAAAAATATTTATTTAACACTTTATTTGTTTGTTTGTTTGTTTGTTTACTTTTGCTGCTAATACAACACAATATTTATTTAGAATTTTTTTTTTAATGATTTTGGTTTTGTTTTCAGGTGAATCAGAAACCGAGCATCAGAAACAGAGTCAATACAGTGACTCTGACACCTAGACAGTGTGACAAGTTCTCCTCGAGACTGGAGGTCAGAGAGCTTGTACCCTGGCCGTCTCCCCCAGGGTCCTTCCAACAAGGTGGGAAGAGGGGGGTCAGCCGAAGCGATCACATGGAGGGCAGGCCTCTCTCGCCCCTCTTGCTGGCTGTACTGTTTCTGGCAACAAGTGCGAGCGATGATGACCACTCACTGCACACGCATCAGGTCAGTACGGCTCAGTGTGGAGAATACAGCAATCAGGTCCTGGAGGACGGCATGTGTCAACTCATGGCCACGCTACCCCAGCTGGACGACCAACGCTGCCCGGACATGTTCCGCTGTACGGATGAAGTGTCATACTGGCTTCATGAGAACGAGGAACGCAAACAGCAGATTCTGGCCCTGCGGGAGACAGTGTCCGAACTTCAGGAGGAGCTTCGCAACCACCGTCATCGAGTCAAAGTCTTAGAACTACAGGTGTGTGGATTTTGTGGACTTTTTGTTTCCATGATTGCTGTCTCAATTGCTACTACTTTCACATTGGCAGAGTGATATATACAGTATCTCACAGAAGTGAGTACACCCCTCACATTTTTGTAAACATTTTATTATATCTTTTCATGTGACAACACTGAAGAAATGACACTTTGCTACAATGTAAAGTAGTGAATGTACAGCTTGTATAACAGTGTAAATTTGCTGTCCCCTCAAAATAACTCAACACACAGCCATTAATGTCTAAACCGCTGGCCACAAAAGTGAGTACAACATACAGTATATATTTTGAAAATATTTACATGTATATATTTATATTCATATAATTTATATTATACATAAATATATTTAATATATAAACACAACATATTTTTCTTAAATATATAAATTTCTGCTATAAAAAATAAATACAGCATAAATACATACATTACACTGCTTTTGATATGGTGAACCACCAGATTCTCCTGTTAACCCTGTTGGAAAATGGCATCTCAGGAACCGCACGCCAGTGGTTGACCCTCTAACTCTAGCACGTTCTATTCTATTTTAATTCTACTTTAATTCTACTTTATCTTTTTATCTTTTTTTATAAAAAAAAAAAAAACTAACTCTAGCTTTCTATTTTTTTCTATTCTATCTACTTGTTTTTCTTTTTGTGTGTGTGTGTATATGAAGCTACGTGTACTGCTTTAGGCTAACCGAGACTTGTCATTTGCACTTACATATTGTTGCTCTTTTGTTAGTTTTGATTGCTTCTATTGTCCTCATTTGTAAGTCGCTTTGGATAAAACTAAATGTAAATGTACATGACTAAATGTAAATATACGTGCATGTGTGTGTATTTATATATACATAATAAATATACAGAGTACACACACACATATATTATGTACACAAAAACGTTTATTTTGGATGCGATGTATATTTAGGTCTGCTGTAAGACCTAAATATGCCATGTAGAGACTCAAATCTTTTTGAATCTGTTCACTGAGACCACAATAAATCAAATAAATGAAACGATTTTTTAAATGTTCCATTATAGAAATGGAGAGCATTCAGGACGAGCCGATATACTTAACTGAACTGAATATTCCAGTGCTACATATGCCTAGAGAGGACAGTTTAGGACGAACCGATTCAGTAGTCTGATTCGAATTTCTGACGCGACTTATGATAGAGAGTTTAGGATGTTTAGAATGAACCACTATTGTATTATAGATCAGTGGTATGAACCGATTCAGCAGAATGATTTGAATTTCCGATGCTACTTACTGTATGAGAGAGAGGGCCGTTTAGGACGAACCGATTCAGTAGAATGATTCAAACTTGGTTAAGAATAAGAATAAGAATTCAAACTTAGTTAAGAAGATAAGAATAAGAATAATTATTAATGTTATTCTTCTGATTTTAACATTTCTCCAACACCTTATAAATGATGCATCAATAATGATAGTTAGACAAATTGTATACAGTAATTGTTTATGTTTTGGAGCTATTCAATCAAATCGCTTTATTTTCACAAAAATATATTGATGTAATTTGACAGATACCATGTTTTTGAGCATGTACCATAAAAATTCCATAGATGTACCATGATATGTTTTGGACAGATATTATCGTCATACCATTGTTTTTGGACATTAAATGAAGTACGATGGGAGTACCATGGCTTTTGGGCATTTACATAATACCATTTTTGGTATGTTGACCTGACAAACATAAAAGTGTTATAATAATACTGTGGTTTTAGGATTTGTATCATGGAAACATATACTATACACTAGTATTTTACATATACCAAGTTTTTTGGGGGGCATGGTATCATGGTACCTTCCTTTGTGTTTAGGATATGTACTATGATACTACCATTTTTTTTTTTTACTACCATGGTTATCATGTTAGTACCATGGTAGTTTTTAGACATTTACTATGTTAATACCGTAGTATGTTGACATAACAATAATACTATGTTTTTGTACCATCGTAACATGCTGTGCACTAATATTTTACATATGGCAATTTTTTTTTGGACATGGTATTTTGGTTCTACCATGTTTTGGACATTGGTTTTACTATGGTATTTTGGACATTTACCATAACAGTACCATTTAAATACATGTACTTGAATTTCAGTACCATGGTATATTTCAAAATACCATTTATTGTCATCTCATGTTGTGTAGCATGGCACCACTTCGGTGCTTTTTTTTTTTTTGTAAGGGTGGTCACACATATATATATATATATATATATATATATATATACATATAGTATACACAGCCAATAGAATGTGGACACCCCCTTCTAATCTCATAAAGTGCACAAGCATAGCTTTTCTTTTCTATCATGACAATTTTCTTGTGATGCTTTAAAGGGTTAGTTTACCCAAAAATGACATATTTTTCATCATTTACTCATCCTCATGTCGTTCCAAGCTTTGAGTAACCTTCAAAACACAAATTAAGGTATTTTTTAATGATACCTGAGATGTTTCTGTCCCTCCAATGAAAGTTCAGGTAACCAAAACCTTAGAAGATCCAAAATGTTCATAAAGGCATTGTAAAATTAATCCATATGAAATGAGAGCTTAATTAGGTTAAAAAAGTTAATTTAGGCTTTTGACATCTATCTTGGATTAAATTGCTATATACAGTGTGTGTGTGTATATGAAGAGTTTGGTTCCAAAACGCGATAAACGCCTTTTTTAAAAATTTTTATTGAGTTTCCACCAAAATCAGTATTGTATATGGTCGGTATTGAAAAGTCAATTTTTAATTTTACGCAAAATGCGATATCCGCCGAGTTATTCTGTCATGTTTTCTCCCTTTCTTTCCAAACCGCAACAAACGCCAGTCTCCCTTCTCTGCAGAACTAATCAGCTAAATGAATGTAACATGGCAAAGATGAATACACTTTTGGAAGTTGAATGTAAGGGCAATGTCATTTTGGAATTTCTGTGGTCTAATGTGATATTGTTGTTCATGTTCTTGTTCATGATGAAATTTTCTTTTATTGCTGTAATTAATTTATATTAACAAGATGACCTGTTGAATTCATTTTGGGAGCGATGACCGATTGAATGTATTTTTAGTCTAGTGCCTGTATATAACATGTTATTATAACCTAAAGATGCTATGTGAAAGTTTGAAACAGAAATAGTGGTTTCCATCTTGCCACTTTCTTGGAAAAGAAAACACATTTTTACTCAGATTAATCCAAATGGATTTATAGCGTTCTGGAACCAAACTCTTCATATATATATCTAACTATATATGTGCAGCAGCAGCATTTCCTACGTGGTCAGAGCAGCATGTCTGTGGATGTGTTGGCATATATATATATATATATATATATATATATATATATATATGATTAATAATAATTAATATAATTAATTTTTTTTTTAAAAACACAATATATTATATTCACGATTTTAGTAGAACTTGACAGAGCTTTTCTTTTCTATCATGACTTTCAGTGTTGTGAATCTTGTGGTGCAATAAAGGCATAGTTCACCCAGAAATTTACTCACAAAATTACATTCCAGACCCATAAGACTTTGGTTAATCTTTGAAACACAAATTAAGATACCAAGGTTTTATGGGTATGATAATGAGTAAATGATGGCTGAATTTAAATTTTTGGGTGTACTATACCTTTAAGTCTTTAGCTAGTATTGAACTTTCGTCAGTTACTGGCCTGAACCAACGGAGGGTGACAAATCATAGCGCAGTTTATGACCTCTTCATCATCTCATTTTTTTTAATGGGAACTGAAATTGCTTACCCTTTATACAATATATGTTTTTTATATTAATTATGCTAATATAGTTGCATGTGTTTTTACTCCAGAGGTGCAGCATGTCAGGAACTACCCCATCGACTGTGCCTCCATCTACTATAACGGAGTGCGCCGCTCTGGGATCTACACCGTGGTGCCCTCACTAGGGGCCATGCCCGTGGAAGTCTACTGCGATATGGACACGGACGGTAAGAAACCACACAACACATGCAGTAATGACTGTCCAGGACTCGTCAATAAAGATAGTGTTTTGGGTCAGCTAATGATCTTGATGATCTGTAATAATATATGTATAGTGTATATATATATATATATATATATGAATGAAGCGTTCAGATGCAAAATCCTCTAAGCACCATCTGAAATTTTCTTCTAAAATGAGCATTTTTTTCTCAGGCTCCTATATTTATATTCAGTTATTTAATTTTAATGGGAATGAAAAGAACCTGTTCATTGCCATTAAAATGAAATTGCTGAACCTACACATAAGAGCCTGAGAAAAAATATTTTTTGGTAAATATATTTATAATTAAATATAATATATAAATGTGTATTAAGTAAAAACATGTACACACACACACTATCTATATTATATCTATATTATATCTGCTACAAAATATGGTGCAAAAAATCATTTGTTCATATATATTTATTAAATGATTAGATATTTTGATTAAATTATTTTACAACATTTTTATCAAATGCATATAGAAATGGTTAAAATTCAAAAATATTACATATATGAATTAACTATAATTAATTTAAATATTCAGTAATTATGTATTGGTTCTTTTTTCCATTTAATTTAACATATTAATATAATTTTTGTTTTTTTGTGGGGCCACTGAAAATGTTGTCAGTGAAAGTATGATGCTTATCGTTGTGGCCTACTGTCCTCTATGTTGAAATGTTTTGCTGGAAATTTGTTGTGGATGAATCATTGGGTTATTTTTATATCATTTACAGGAAAATGTAGAGAGACTTTCAAAACCGTAGCAAAAGAAACTCTGATAATGAACATCTAAATTACTTCTCTTTTATGTCTAATAAGACTTCAGTTTTGTGCTGAAATCGCACCGTTGGGGCCCATGAGGAACCTTCTAAAGCTTAAAATAGCATGTGCAAATATCATTTTGATGACCTACAAAACACTTCCTGACCATAGGCATAATTGCAGTGGTCATAAGATGAAAACCAAATGACTTGGCATGTGCATTAAACTCATAAAAAGAGATTTGATTGTTGAATGCTTGAACGTATACTCTTTTTACATTTCCTTCCTAATAAAAACATGGTCATAATTGGAGCCCATGCATAATGTACATCTCAGGTGGCGGCTGGACTGTGATCCAGCGTAGGCAAGATGGCTCTGTGAACTTTGACCGCAGCTGGAAGGAGTATAAAGAGGGATTTGGAGACCTGCACACCGAATACTGGCTGGGAAATGAACACATCCATGACCTGAGCAGTCAGGGAGACTATATGCTCCGTATCGACCTGGAGGACTGGAGCGGGAAACACAAACACGCTGTTTATCAGAGCTTCAGGTGAGGAACATCCATCACTGACTGACTGGAAGGACTTCAAACGGACGCACAATGTTTAATAGTGATTAAACAGCTGGCCTTGTAATTGAAAACACTTTAAACACTTGATGAACACTCCAAACACTTGATGTGTGTTTGCAGTGTGGAGGACGAGAGCACTCAGTACCGTCTGTGTGTGTCGGGCTTCAGCGGGACTGTGGAGGACTCCTTCAGCTGGTACCATGACAAGCAGAGCTTCAGCACACCCGACACAGGCAACATCTGTGCCGAGATCTCCCACGCTGGCTGGTGGTTCAACCAGTGTTTCTACGCAAACCTCAATGGCATCTACTACAAGGTATGATGTGGCCTGTTGGTTATAGACACAAAGGTTGTAGGTTTAAGGCCCAGAAGTGAGTGAATCGTGAGCTGTTACTGTTGTCTTTGAGTTAGGCACTGAACCCCTGGTTTGCCTATGTAATAAAAAAAAATGAAATAGATAATAGAAAATGCTGCTAAATGAAGAATAATTTAATAATATTATATAAAATAATAATAATTTCATATATAAATAAAATATATATTACATTTAAAAATATAAATACAATTTCTGCAAGTGTGTAATATTTTAGCTTGTTCGTAAAAAGTTTTTTTTTTTTTTTATGTAGTTACATTTAAGTTTTTGGCAGGGTTATTTTAGTATCACTGATATACTATTATAGTTTTATTAATATTTTGAATTAGACTTTATTTTTATATTTTCTGTTTTCATTTTAGTTAGTTTTTGTAATTTTGTTGTGTTTTTCACTTTTTTAAATATGTCTAATATATAGTTTTGGTAACACTTTAAAATAGGGAACACTTATTCACTATTAACTACGAATTTTCCCTCAATAAATTCCTAATTTGCTGCTTATTAATAGTTAATAAGGTAGTTGTTAAGTTTAGGTATTGGGTAGGATTAGGGATGTAGAATAAGGTGATGTAGAATAAGGCATTAATATGTGCTTAGTTACTACTAATAAATGGCTAATATTCTAGTAATATGCATGCTAATAAGCAACTAGTTAAGAGACCCTAAAATAAAGTGTTACCATAGTTTTTGTTCATTTTTATTTATTTATTGGTTTAGTACTTCATTAAACTAAACAAAAATGAGATATGTTGTCTCGACGACTAGATATAATAAAATCAATTTCATTTTTAAAATTATTTTATTTCAGTTAACATTTATTTTAGGTACTCATTTTTTTTATGGCTTTGGGTTTAGGTTATTGGAAATGTATTCTTGTTGTTTTTGTGTTTTGAAAACCTCAGTTTTTACTACTTTTTAAACAGTTTTTAATGACTCTTTAAATACATTTTTCAAAGTTCAAAGGGTCAAGTGACCTGAACATCAAAACATGCTGACCTAACAAAGTTATGAAGGTCTACAAAAGTCCTCTCTGTAATATAATTCCATGTATATGAATTTCTTGCTACTTGAACAACAACATGGTTTTTGCAAGCTGGTTATATTACATTGACATTTTTATGCAACTAGATAAATCATACAATTATGGCATATGACAAATATTTTGTCATTCAAGTTCAGGACTGTTACATCAACTACACATTTTAACCACACAAAATTAACAAAATGAATTTTAATTTAGAAAAACATACTGATGATAAAAGGTGTGTTCAAGTCTTTCTCTGTATGAATAAACGCATAGACTTAAAAAGTGCAAATCAGAAGCTAAAGGATCTCTGATGATGTCTAAGTGATGTTCTGTGATCCTGTTGGACAGGGCGGCCGCTACTCGCTGAAGGGGAAGAACCCTCTTGGTCCAGACGGTATCGTGTGGTACACCTGGAAAGATTCAGATTATTACTCTCTGAGGAAGGTCAGCATGATGATCCGACCCAGAACCTTCCAACAGCATCTGTCACCCTGAATCAGGCCCAACCGATGAGCTTGGGCCCATACGTCAACCAGCCAATCACAGTTCTCATAGCCACGGCGACACAGGACGGATGGATTCTTCCATGGTGAAACAGAGGAAAATCTATGTATGGACTGAATGTTTTCAAGGAGGCTGTGAAACCATTTTTTAGGTTTATACCAAAGACTAGAGAAGGACTGCTGCTGAGACAGTGAAAACAATCATTGAAAGTCAGTGTTTGCCATTCAGTGAGTCTAAAGTGTGTTACATGCCTATATTTTCTATAACCATGGTGTTAAGAATTAAATATTTTGTTGACATTTTATAAATGTGTATTAAAAGTAGATTTAGTTTCTGTAGCATACAATGGGACCAAAGACGATTGATTTAATGTTTTTTCTCCAAAGCCCTAAATAGCAACAAATATCCCACAGCACTTTCTTAAACACCTGTTTGCCACTATTTCCTGATCAATAGAATGATTACATGATTAATGATATATTATTGTATTTAATCAAATATACAGTAACATTCAAAATTTGGGGTTGGTAAGATATTTTACTGTTTTTGAAAGAAGACTCTTATGCTCACTAAGGTAGCATTTATTTGATCAAAATACTGTAAAAACTGAAATTTTATTACAATTTATAATAAACTGTTTTCTCTTTTAATTAATTTTAAAATGGAATTCATTCCTGTGACGCAAAGCTGAATTTTCAGCATTTTTACTCTAGTCTTCAGTCACATGATCCTTCAGAAATTATTATTATATGCTCAAGAAACATTTCTTATTATTATCAATGTTATTGTGCTGCTTAATATTTTTGTATAAACGGGATGGGGGACGGGACATTTATTTGAAATAATCTTTTGTATTATAAATGTCTTTACGGTCACTTTTGATCAAATTAACATGTACATACAAAATAACAGCAATTTCTTAAAAAATATTTTACTGACCCCATACCTTTCAATGGTATTATATAATTGTATTAAATAGAAATTTGTAAATATAAAAATATTTCTTTGAAATATTGCATAATTATGTAGAATCCCTGACATTATCACAAAAACTTTGAGAGAGAAAAAGACTTCAGTTTAGTGATTTTGTTGTTGTTGTAAAGGTTAAATAAGTGGTTAACTGGTAAAAAAAAAATATGTAAAAGGGTAGTACTTGGGGTAAAAAGCCCCCTAATTAAGGGGGCTGTAAGCCTCACAAAAAAGCCAAAAACTGAAGCCAAAAAAACTGTAGCACAATAAAATTATTTTCATTTGTGAAATATGCCTGTAATAATTTTGTAGGTTCATGATGTACAGTACTGTACTGAAAGCAAAAAATATATAGTTTATGAAATGCCAAAAGTGAGTGAAATAAACAGGAAATGCTGCAACCTTTGTTGAACTGGTCATTTTAAATATGTACTTATTTCTGTATGCTTTTACACACCTGCAAATTATTTCTGGGTAACACTTTATTTTAAGGTGTCCTTGTTACACGTTACATGCACTTACTATTATAATAACAATAAATGATGCATAATTACATGCAAGTAACCCTAAACCTAACCCTAACCCTACAGTAAGTACATGTAGTTAATTAATATTACTCAATACTGAAATGCATAATTACACTGTAACAAAGACACCTTAAAAAAAAGTGTAACCGATTTCTGTTATATTATGAAACGAATAAACCACAAAATCACACAAAACATGGGTCTTATTGGTGTGTAAAGCACATTCAGACATAAAACAACACGTATTTTGAGACTGCCTCATTCATATTCACCATAAACACACAGCTGACTCACCAGGCTCCATTTCTAAACCTTGAGAGCCGATTTCACTGTTAACAAAACAGACATCTTAATTAAGCAGAGTCACCATCTAGGTAGGCAGCTTGCTAGGTTTTGAGTCACAGCCTCCATCTCAACTAGTTATTCACACTACATTCATTTTCAGACACTCGTACAGAGAAACAAATCCACTGCATAGCGTACAAATCATAATCTCAATGGTTTAGTCAATCTGTGTGCAAAAGACTTGCGAACACTGCTATACATAAAAAATATATGAACAACATGCATCAGATGGGAGTATAATTTCATTTTTACAGGATAAGAAATTGGTGATAATTGCACTGAGGTGGAAGCATCAAGCTGAGCACGATCTCTGTTTGTAATTTGGCGTTGGGGAGAGATAAAAACTTTTTTGGTTACTCTTATGGAGAAAAAGGACCAGCCCTCCTGTTATCATCTCCAGAAGCCTCCAAAGAAAATGATGGGGCTTGTTTTTGGCCGTGAACAAACACAAACAGGATGACGCATCTGAAAGGCCACAGTAAAGTGCAGTGGATAAAAAGCATGTTTTTTTGCAGGGTCTCTACAAAACAAGGCACAATCAAACTTGGCTTGGCCTCGTATGTGCCTCAGAATAAGTTTAGATCACTTGTATAAAAGCATGTAAAGTTACGTCTCTCTCTGCATCTTTCATATTTATCATAAATCAAATCTATGGAGGTCATAACAGAACCTGGAACATCTAAATCAACAACTACATATAATAATTAAAGCCCCATATAATCAGATATTTTTAGTCACAATCTGTAGCTGCTTTTGGCCACCGATCGATGCTTTCTTTGGCCTGAGATCAACCGGATATTTTTATGGCACTGACATCATGACACAGATAACATGAATAGAAACACAGAACGAGAATAATCATGTAAGAGGAACAGAGAGAACGAGTGAGGCAGCTTCCGGACGGCCGCTCCGCCGTTACATAGTAGTGAACTGACTGTGAGCGTGTCGTAGTTTTTCCGCAATCTGCAAAAAACAATTCAATGCTTTAACATCTCCCAACATTATGGAATGCTCTTGAACTTTTACTGTTGTTTCCACATTTTACCATCTCATAGAATTTGACTTGCTGCTCCAGGTACTGCTGCATCACCCTGTTGTAGTCATAGATACGGTTGGTATGGAAGTGGATCATCTCCGCTGCATAGAGGACAGAATGTGTTAAATTCATCACTTGATCAATTTACAGGATTTTTCTTTTTTCAGTTAAATTATTATATGCAGAAAAATGTAATCTCTCAAGTGATTGACAAATTACAACAGAACTTAAAAAACATTTGAGAATTTAAATAAAAATAATTTAGCAGAATCTTGCAGGATTTATTATACTGTATTTTATTAATATATACATATAAGGGGGTCTGAATACTTTCCGTACCCACTGTATATATATATATATATATAGAGTAATAAAACATTATTATACAGTATAATAAGTCATCTTATTTTATAAAATCATGTGCAGTATAATAAAATACAACAAAATAAAATACAGTAACAGCAGTACAAGAAAAACCTCTTTATAGATTTCAAGTTAAAAAAAATTATTTGCATAGATAATGTATATCGACTAAAAAAATCCCATGGCTTTTCCAAAGTCACTGATATTTCCAGGTTTCCAGCCCTGTGGGAACCCTGTACTTAAACTCTGTTTGTGTCTATTGGGTCTACTGAAAATGATAGTTATGTTTCAGCATTCTAATGTTGTGTTAACATCATGTACGGCTTAGTGTGATTATGACTTCTTCAGTAATGTAATCATTTTAAAGGTGGTTTTGGGGTCACACACCTTGCAGAGCGTATGACATGGTGCTGGCACGTTTAGACATGGTGATCTTCTCTGAGGTGGTGATTTTACCGGTGGCCACTAGTTTATCCGCTTCCTTCACTTTCTCTATGGCAGCCTGTGCGAAAGAAAGAGGGCTCAAAATACAGTCAGCCAATCAATTCTCCAATTTTCATATCTTTGTATTGAATCTACGGCTCTGTTTAAACACCTAGTGAGCTGCCTACAAAAAGTTCACTTATGAAGTTCTATGTCGATTCGAATGCTCAAACAGAGTTTGAGTCTATAAGGACTGCTAGTCTGAGTAGTCACCCTTTCTGGTTTACCTTGTGAACTCCAATAGTGTCAGGAAAGCATCCCAGCAGACCTTTGTACTCATTGTTAGTTTCCATGAGGAAGTGAAGGTCTTTCTTTGGCTAGAGATCGAAAGACAGACAAAACTGAATGATTACATCAGACGGTGCACAAACACACCCCGGGTCACTTCATTCAACCGCTCACGAAACGTTTGCGTCACTCGCACACATGCAACACTCTCACTCGCAGACAAGAATCAGAACTCAACTGGACTAAAACAGCCATTAACGGCAGGAAAACAACGCATTCCCTTACAACTAGACTCAATGAAAGTGATAAAAGTGATTGTGACATATGGCCAAGTATGGTGACCCATACTTGGAATTAGTGCTCTGCATTTATCCCATCCAAAGTGCACACAGAAGTTTCTTATGCTCATCAAAGCTGCATTTATTTGATCAAAAATACAGAAAAAAAAACGAATTTTGTGAAATATTATTGCAATTTAAAATCACAGTTTTCCATTTTAATATACTTTAAAATCTAATTTATTCCTGTGAAACAAAGCTGAATTTTCAGCATCATTACTCCAGTCTTCAGTGTCACATGATCCTTCAGAAATCAGTATAATATGCGGATTTATAATCAATGATGGAAACAGCTGCTTAATATTTTTTGGAACCTGTGATACAAAAAATAAATTATACAGAAATAAATTATATTTTAAAGTATATTAAAATACGAAACCAAATTTAGAAATTGCAATAATATTTCACAATTTTACTGTTTTTTCTGTATTTTTAAGCATTATTTGAGCTTAAGAGGAGACTCGAACCTGCAACCTTTGGGTTACGAGTCCGACTCTCTAACCATTAGGCCACGACTTACCCCCCCCTTTAATTAATCATTAAACAACAGGCGATTCAGTTCCAGTCCTCTCATCCTATTGGACAACAGCAACAGAGTGTTCATAACTATTTTCGTTTTTTAAATTTGAATTAAATGTAATTAAAAGAGATTCATGTAAACCAACAAAATAACTTCAGTTTGACTCTGTTTACACTTGATGTGATCCAATCATATGCAGTCAGCATTTAAGGGTGTAAACAGTAAAACGCTACGGGTAGTATCTATCTTTTGCATTTTTAATTTTGATATCTTTAAAGACAATTTCCATTTCAGTGCTAGACCACATGAAGGGTTAACAGAGCTCTACAAATATTCAAGGCTACACTGGCGACACAGAGCCACTTACCAGACACAGTTTGGAGGCCAAACAACAAGCAAGTTTTCATTCACTGTGTGTTTCAGTGGTAAGGTCGAAGATAAATAACACAAGGCTGGATCACATAACTATGGCTTCCTTCCACCTATACAGCTGCTTTCAGGGTCCTGATTCTGATTATTTTCTGATAATAATTATACCTTATATGCATTACTATTCAAAAGTTTGGGATTAGTACGATTTTTTGTAAGGAAATACTTTTGATCATTGACAAAAAAAGACATTGCTAATGTTATAAAAGGTTTCTATTTTAAGTAAATTGTTCTTTTTTTAACTTTATATTCATCAGAGAATCCTGG